CATAAAGAACTCAGGATCATTTCAAAATAAGCGACGGGGAATCTGAGTGAAGGGTTGAGAGAGTCTATTGAAAATGATAGTGACAAACAGATAATCATGCAAATCTTTGACAAAATGAACCTTTTTGCATACTTCAAAAGCATTACCTTACATCGTGCAAACCTGGCAAGTAATTGCAATGATCATGGTAATTCATATTCAAATACTCACCATGTTTCCTCATGGCATTGATTGTCCCAGATGTGCTAGTATTGTAAAAAAGACATTAAGACTAATTTGTAAGTATTTAAAATACTGTTTTCACCAAGAGAACTAGGGTATTTCCAATTTTCTTTAAAAAAGGGTCTTTTTTATTTGAAATTAGATTTTACAATGGAGGCTATTGTTGATTAATGATTCCATGTCATTGTGGTTTCACTTTCCCCTTGAGGTAGGCTCCACCCAGTGCAGTAACCATAATCATGTACCTAGGTGCTCTGGGGGAAGCAATCATATCCACAAACTTGGCTCCCGTCAGTCAGTGCTTCTGTCTCTTCCCTTCCTTCTTCCCTCCCCTCCCTCTGTGCATTCTTGCTCCCTGCATTCCCCCCTCTGCGTCTGCCCTTCCTGCATCCCTCCGTCTCTCTCTTTCAGGCAGCCTAGGGGGACACAGAGTGCCACCCTAACAGAGCCACTCTATCAAGAGGAGTTTCTAAGACCACAGAGCACAGAATTTTTATAAAAGAAAGAACAGATTTAAAGATCATGTTTTCAGTGCAAAAAAGAGAGAAAGAATTCTCTAGGGCATTCTTAATAGACCATCATTCAACCAGGGCATGAAGCAAGATTTTACATTTTAGGTTACATTTTTACTCTAAATCAACTACCATCTGGAAGTAATTGCATGGTGTTTGAACCTAGAGTTGGAAATTATGAGAACTGAAATCAATGCCTACATTTTCTCCTAATGCATGATATGATTCAGCCGATGGATTAGCCTCCTTGGGTGTCAACATCCCTATTTGTAAAATAGAGATTTCTCATTTTCTGTACCTATTTCCCATAGTTTGTCCCACAGGAAATGTAGAACACTATTTCTAATCATTAGCATAACAAATAGCTCGGAAGATTTACAACCTCTTTATCAATTTTGCACAAGGGAGTGTTTTCTGTACCATTTTAACTTTGGTAGTTACTCTAGAAGCATTTGAACCCAGTTATTGTATACAAGAATTTAGGTCAATTTTAGCCAAAGCCTGCCCTAGGTAGACCCACAGATTCTTGAGGGTCTTCTTAGAATATTCTATCTTTCTATTTATGGTGATGTCAAGAGATACATTTAAATACCCTTGTATTAAAAGTAGGGCACTGTAATTTATAATTATTTTGAAAAAAAATCAATTTCTTGTATTACATTTTTCCAAGGTGATACTCTATTATATCCTCATTAAAAATAACAAACACTGAAATTCTACAATACAAAATCAGAGAGCAGAAAACTAGTGTGATGTTTTTCACTAAATATTCATTAGATCTAAGCTTGAACAGCATGTAAATGGAGAAGGCCTGTCTTTGAACTGGAATTCATCCAGCAGAGCTCCGAGGGTTCCCTGTTATAAAGGCTAGAACTTGCCAAGAAAATTATTGCAATTTGGTATGGAAGACATCATTTTGTTAGGATCGAGATGCTTAATTAAAGTGAGTATTAGTTTGTGTAACCATTTAGACCTAACTTAGAGTGTATTTTTCTCCACAGTACAATGCAAAGATAAACTATAAAGACTATCTAACAGTGAATGTAGCCAAACAGTATATGGTAACAGACGCTTCATACTGAGCCTTGGGTTAGTTTTGGCAGCTTTTTATGCTGTGGAGTAATAGGAAGCACACACATTATTTTACAAATATAACACCTTTATAATAGAGAAATGTTTCTTGTGTGAAGACTAGAAAGTACCCTTTTTGTTGACCTTTACTTTTTTATTTGTGAGTTCCTGAAACTAGACATAGAAGGGGCAATGGAATCTGCATATTTAATAAGCAGGGATGCCAAAAAATGGGTACCTTTTTGAAGCATGTAGTAGTAGTTCTGTGACTCTTTCATACTACTCTGATAAAATATGATGATGACCTTGAATTCTAAGAAAAGTTTTTTCAAGATACATACTTGGAGTTTTAGGTGAGTGGATGTTATGGGCATTTACATGGTTATTCAAGATGAAAGATACCTGCTGAGTATCTTCCTGTAAGTGCGTCCATGGCCCTGGCTGCATCTGTATCTATCAAATACAAGTGAGGTGTATGGGTTTGAAAGAATTTTGTATCATTAAGTAGTCAATTTAGGCAGGCTTAATTTTGGTACCACTTGCTAACTGTCAGAGCCCCCCTTTTACAAGTCCAAGAGAGCCACAGAGAAAGCAAAAACTGTTGTTTTCATACATGTTCCTGGACACTGCCTCCAGCAGTACGTAGCTGGTCCAAATGCAGTATTTTGAATCACTGTTTACAAAGAGCAAAAGGAACACATGGATCAAGGAAGGAGCAGTCCCCTTGTCCATAGCACGCGCCCACCTTGGGAATACCCTGAGGTGGATCTCCATCAAGTAGAGAGCCACGGGGCACGGCACCAAGGAGATGTATGTGATGGGAAAGATCTTTAGGTTTACCTCTGTGCCTACACTGTGGGTGAAATCAGCTTCTTCTCTATGTGCTACTATAGGAAGATTGGAGCAGAGGTGAGTCACCAAGACAGGCTTTTCTGCAAGCAATTTCATGATGGATTTCCTTTCTGTCATTTTTAGGAAATGAGTCCACCAAAATACAATTTTTTTCAAGAAATGATATTTATCCACAAGATCAATTATCTTTTTTATTTTTTAATGAACATTTAAGGCTCATATACAAAAGCTAACAAAGCAATAAGTCAACCGTGACATACATACAAGGAAATAAAATGGAAAGTAAGTCAATTACAATTTCTCACCACTGAAGCACTACACGCTGACTGCAGCGAGAAGTGGTCAATGTTTCAGACAATGAACACACAGACCAAATGCTGAGACTTCATTACACCACTGTTGGTTTTAATGTTTCCTTCTTTATCTTGGTCATTATGCAGTTAAGAGGGAGGAGTTAAAGGGACAGATAAAAGTTTCTTTCTCCCCCCACCAAAAAAAAGGTTTTTTAAGTGGTTAAATTTTTCCTTAGGGAAGTATTTTGACTAGCTTACCACATATTTCTGTTATTAAATTTGTCTGCATAAATATTTACCTATTCTAGCTCAGTGTAAGATCATGCAGTACTTTCTAGTTTCAGAACAGTAAGAATTATCAAAAGCAATTAGTTTTGTACATAAATGCCCACTGTTTCCTTTTTAATGAAAAATGTGTTCCTTGTGATCTTTGTTTCTTGCGAGAGCTGGTCAAGTAATAATCATGGAGCATTTCCTAAAATATTTATTTGCTGGGAAAATTTGTATGAAATGACATTTGAAGTATAAAAAACATTGTTAGGTAACACTTGGAACAGTTAAAAATATACTTATCTTGATTGTAAACTATCAATGTAAGATACTGAGCATCTGAGTGTCAGAGCCATTGTCTCCTGTTTTTCTAAAAGTTGTTTGCTTTATTTATCAATGTGACATCTTTGAAACATCTGACGTTATATATATAGAAACATCAAGGCAATATTATTGTACACATTATTAAACATGCAAAATTTCCTGAAAGATAGTGCCCAAATATGGAAAGTTCCTCCAAGATCAACCTCTCCTGGATACCATTCTGTTGGAAGTATGGCTCTGGGAGTTTGGGAATGCAACAGGCGGGTTATTTTGGAGAGGCAGCCCCTTTAATCACCGGCTCCCTATTCAAATATGTTGCCCAGTAAACTAAGTTAAAAGTGCCAAACAAGACTGGGAATACAATTCGTGACATTTTGTCAATTTTGCTGATGCTGTTATAAGTCTTTTTGGTTTCAGAAGTCTTCTCTTCGGAAGGTTTCACCGAGACTGAAGATGCATTTGAGGTCCCCGCCGGAATCTGCTCCTTTGGGATGTTGGGGGTGTGGGTCATCTTCCCAGTAGTATAAGCATTTGTTGACTTATTTAGTATAAGTTCCCGCTCTTTTTTCTGAAAAATATAGTAAGAATGTAAGGGCATGCCATTTGCAGGCATGGTCAGTTCACTTCTAAAAATTTCAAGATTTTTCTCTCAAAGAGAGATAAACACGAGCTTAGCTCTGGTAGAGAGCAGTCCTCCACAGACTTTTAAGCCTGTGACCCCAAATGGCCAGTCTTATATATGAAATTCTAGATCAGACAAATAATATATGGTGGAAAAAAGTCAGAACTGTGGTTACCTTTGTTGAGGTGGGGACCGGAAGGGGCTTTAGTGAATGGAAAGTGGCATGGTGAGCTTTCTGGAGTGCTGGTGATGTTTCTGCCTTGATCAGGATTTGGGATACGCAGGTGGACATATTTATCAAAACCCAGCAAATATGCCTTAATATTTGTGCAGTTCACAAATTGTGCTCCAAAAGAATCAAGCAGTAAATAAATATTGAACTCTAGATTATGATATTCATGCCCACCACCACAGCCTTCTGGAGAATGACACACAGTCTTGGGGTTCCACATGGCCTAATGAAGTATGTTGCTTGTTCTAGAAGATCAGCAATAATCTGGGGTCAGAGAATCCCGGTTACCTTCACCCCTTTCTCTTCTTCCAGGTGTCCCTCCAGATCTGTGGCAAGTGTTAGCAACAGTGGGGCTGAATGCGTCCTTGTGTCTGACAATGCTGGTGTGCCTGTCCCACAATATCTAGGGCTCTCTGTTCACCTCTGGGCTTCCTCTTCCCTCCAGACACACAGAAATGAGCCTGGCAGCCTCAGTCCCTGCAGCAGGCTCCCATGTGCTCTCCCACTTTAGACTTACCTATTTCCAGTCCACTGTCACACACACCCATCCAAGAACAAGGCCCGTAGCAAATATTTACCTTTTAGCAACACAGCGCTGGGTGTTGGGAAGCCCCCTCTCCCCAGAGTCCATTCACATTCCTCCCCCTGCAGACATCTTTCATGGCTCCTTCTGTCTTCATGATCAAGTCCAGATGCTTCAGTTAAGAAGCCGCAGTCTGAGGACACCCTGCCACTGCACATTTTCCCAGGTCCCCACCAATTGTCCATTGTGGTCAGCACACACCTGTTCCCCTAGCCCCATCCCCCAAAACAAACCCACTCCCAAGGCGCCTACTTGTGAAGATGCTCCCCTCTGCTCCCTTCTCCCCTGAGAGGGCCCAGAATGGGCCCAACTAGGCCTTCCTCCGACCAGGGGAGCTGGACTTGAAAGTGGGTCTTCCATGGAGGGGACATGGAGAGAGGACCTGGGCACGGGCAGGGGCTGTGGAGTTCAGAAGCGGGAAGACTGACGGGCCAGGTCAAGGGAGAATGTCTGGCTTCTCACAGGAAAGGAAACAGCAGTGTTAAGCGCGAAGAGCAAGCATGGGGCCACCGAGGAGACAACGCTGACCTCCTGGGCTGCTGATACTTGTAAGTTTGTGGCCCTGGCTGGGAAGTCAGGACGCATCATTCCAGCGTCCCACAACACCGCCTGGGACTCCCCTCATGACAGGTTTCCAAAGCGCAGACTAAGTTTTACTTTCAAGTTACCCTGATGACTCTGCCCTACTTTTCTCTCAGAGCAAAGGATTTGCTTATTTGTTTCAGGCACAGAGTGATTAGCAGTTTATCATATGCTGCTTTATGTCTCCCCCCATGTGTGGTAGTCTCGTCTCCCCAAGGACGTGGTTCAGCTTGGAATTCTGTGCAACCTTTTCTTTTCAAATATTCCTTAGAGTTGGACACCAGTCACCCTCTAAATAATCAACAATTAATTGCTTTGAACAGAGTAAATCTTTCCACAGTAACTCACGTGCATCATTTAAGTGAGCCAGATCACCTCATCAGTGGACTTGGGTTCGTTTTGCTGCCTCCAATAAGTCACATGCTTAAAGCCCCTTTGCAGAATATATACTACATGGTAAAGTGGCAAAAACAGCAAATGGGAGAATGGCCTGTACAGTCCAAAACTGGACAAGCAGTGCCTGAACAAGCAGCAAAATAACAGGCCTGAGTGTAAACAGGCCCGAGCCATTCCCGAGGACATCAGACCTTTTGCCTGAATGAAGCTGGCTATTCAACATGGAACAGGAGCTGTTATAAGTAAGCCTGTGAATGTAAGGGCAGGGACCATGTTTGGGGGGTTGAGGGGAGAGTTGGGGAGGAGAAAAAACACTTGTCTTATAATTGAACACAGAACCAGGCATGTTTTCTCTGGGGAAGAAGAAAAATGAAGTCCATACCTTGACCTTGGCTGCTTCCGAGGCTTTCTTACCATCCCAGGCCCAGCCTCTCTTTGTGAAATAGTTGACCGTGGCGAACTCGATGAGCGCGGAGAACACGAAGGCGTAGCACACGGCAATGAACCAGTCCATGGCCGTGGCGTAGGCCACTTTGGGCAGAGAGTTCCGGGCACTGATGCTGAGGGTTGTCATGGTCAGCACCGTGGTCACCCCTGTGGTCAGCAGGGAGGGGGGAGGGGGGTGGAGAACACAGCAGGTGTCAGCGCAATGCTCTGAACACGGCGGACAAAGACAGGAAGGGAACTGGTGGTCATGGTGCCCCCAGCCCAGGCCTCCCTGTCTGTGGATAGCACCTGACACATTCACAGCATTTAAAACATTGCTTAGTTTATCATCATGTGGATGGTCTCCTTCCTCCGGAACACAAACTGAGAAGGGCAGGTGCTTGGGTCTGACTCGTACACATACCCCGTGTCCCCACAGTCCCAAACCAAGCCAAGCAAACAGATGGTGCTCAGCAAAGAGGCTTAACGTGAGGAGTGTTTCTCTGTGGTACTGGGGCAACACCTACCTGAGAAAGGGCAAGAACATTCATGAGCATCTAGTGAAATGCTTCACAAAGATTCACTGTGCACTTTGTATCAGGCTCAAGGCAAACTGGTGTGACAGACTTGCTTTCACAAGGGGTAGCCCAGATCACAGACTTCCAGGAGCCGCAGGGCTCCAAAGCACCTTCTCTGAGCCAGGTAGCGGCACTTCACTCCCTCCAGGAAGCACTGCTGTCTCATCAAGACCCATGTGCAAGGTGCCTGTGGCTCTCTGCCTTGGTTTCTGGGGCTACTCCACAGTGACCGTACAGCAAGGCTGGGTCCTTGGAGGGGAATATTAGTCAAGGACCTGCAGATCATGAGCCACTACTCAGCGCCAGGCTCTGACCTAAGCTACATTTTGGACCAGTGTCATTAACCCCATTTTGCAGGCGAGGACCCTAAAGATTTAAAAATAGTTAGCAATGTGCCCAAATTCAACAGCTGGCAAATAAGAATGTATACTCAAGGCCAGCTCCACTGGACCCTTACAACCCACATAGCTGCTGCAGGCTCCCTGCCCCCTTCCTGCCACAGTTTTCGGGTGTGCCTGTGGGCACGGGTGTGGGTGTGGTGCACCTGTTATGGGCTGAATTTCTGCCCCCACTCCAACTGATATGTTGAAGTCCAAACCTGTGACCTTACTTGGAAATACAGTCTCTATCAGAAAAACCAAATTAAAATAAGGTTGTTAGGCAGGCCCTGATCTACTATGAATGGTGTCATAGACACGCACAAAGGGAGAACACCACGTAGGGATGAGGTATGCCTCCTCAAGCCAGGCAGCTGCTGGAAGCTAGGGGAGGGACCCAGAACAGAGCCTGACCTCCCAGCCTCAGAAGGCACCTTGAGTTTTGACTGGCATCCTCCAGAAGGGTGATTCATTTCTGTTGCTTAAGCCGCCCAGTGCACAGTACTTTGTTACATCAGGCCCCGAACCAAAGCAGCACCAAAAGAAAATGCACGGGTGGTCATAGCAGCTCAGCTTTCCCCCAGTGTCATCCTTCACAGGTATTCATATGCACTCAGGGAACATGGTGTCATGAATGGTGTAGCAAAATGGAAGTTCCCAAGGCCAGGATCTCCTTGATGATGCAATTGGCCTACTGTGTAAGCGCGTGCTTACACATGTGGTGGCAATGAGACATTATTGTGGGTGTTACTATATGAAAAGCCCAGTGCTTTGCCAAGAGGCAGAGACAGAGACAGATTGCAGACTTTCCAGATGCGGACATGATTCTAGTGCTCAACCTGCCATCATGAGAATAAAACTTGGTATAAGACCTTTTACTCGCAACATGCTGTTGTCACTATTCCATCTCACCAAATCCAGAGCGAACTTGCCTAGAGCTGAAACCTTCCGGCAAGACAGTTAACATAGACAGCAGGGTTCACTACAGACCAGAAAAAAAATGGAGTAAGCTGTCCTCGTGGGAGGGGTTCTTCAGAGGCCTACCCTTAAACGTTGGGAAATGCTGCAGGAACACCCTATGGAGGAGGAGATAGACATCTAGGTATCCCCCAGTTGGGTGTATGGACTGAGGTGCTTTCTTCCTAGGGGAGTGGGCCCCTCCCTGGGGCTGGGGGAAGGTGGAGGTGACGCCTGAGGCAGTGATAGATGCCCTCCAGGATATCAGGAGATCCTTGGAGGAACAAGTGCCCACGTGACAGCAGGAGCCATTAGTTGGCTTCTTCTCACAGTGTTAAAAGAAGCTATGGATGAGAAGGCCTGCTCCCGCGAGATGTACGAGAGGAGACAGTGTGAGAAAGTGAGCTGTGAGGTGCCGTGGAGAAGGCAGGAGCAGACAAAGACAGGCTCTTGTGAGAAACACGAGAGGAGGCAGCACGAGAATGCCAGCTGCAAGGTGCTGTGGACAAGGCATGATATTTGTCGAAGATTGAGATGGAGATGTTGCAAGGTGCTATGGAAGAGGTAAGGGCCATGAGGGAGAAGGCTGTACTATTGCAGGAAGCACAACAGGCAGCGCGAGAATGTGAGCCGTGAGGTGCTCTGCAGGAGGGAAAGGACAGGGCTGGAGATGCTCCGTGGAGTGGCAAGAAACTTGCCATAGGCCCCAGAAGTGGTGGGGGTATGTTGGAGAAGAATGAGGAGGTGCCGGTGATGCCGGAGGCAACGACCCCTCTTCTCTTGAAATCCTGCCTGTTTTACTCAAGAAAATAAAGACGCAACAACAGTGGGTTCCTCCAGGAGAGGTGCAGCCCCCTCCCCTGGTCATGGAGCACTCTATGCTCTGCCCCTATACACAGGCAGAGCTGGTGGATTTGGGGTCCTTGTTCAGCAGAAATGCTCGGAGTCCATATCAACCTGGCTTCTGCACCTTTAGGATGTAGGGGTGGAGAGCATCTTCCTGTCAGAATCAGAGATGGGAAATTGGCTTCCCTGACAACTCATCCTGCCTTGTGGCAGTGACTGAAGAATGCACACCAGACCCAGGAAATCATTCACTTCTCGAGTGGGTAATGGCTGCACTTTACACTAGATAGCCCAAGCAGGGTGACTTAGCATCTTCCCTGCTAGGTGGCAGGTATATGCCAAGCTTCAACAGGGAGTTGGGCATGAAAAATGCCATTTATAACCCATCAAATTATGGCCTGTATGAGAAGCTGTTTACTGTGGGGATGAGGGATACGGTGCTACAAATGGATCCCTCATCCTTCTTTGGGCTCTTAGTGGTCATTCTTGCCCCTTGCTTAGGGCAACCCATAAATGAGGTTACCCATACTGTGCCAGATCCGAGGGAGGCTGAAGCAATGTAGGCATAGAAGGGAGTGCAGTCTACTACTGATAGGAAGGGTTTAGAGGGCCCTGTGAAGGTCATGAAGACCCAGATGTGGGTTGATTCGATAGGGGCAGGAGCAGATAAAGAATCTGGATGAGAAGTCAAATAAAATGTTACTGGAGCTGCAGCAACAACTGAAGCTAGAACAGCAATTTCAGCCACTGAGGACCAAAAAGCAGAGGCTGGAGACAGAACCAAAAGTCTGGCCTGTGTCTGCAAAACTTCCTACTGGAGAGTGAGCCGACCTCACCTGAATCCACACAGGAAAACAATTGGGCAATATAGTTTGAATGAGGGGAGGGTTGAGGTACTTGCCTTGGGGGACCAGGTGGGGAACAGAGGCCACATGTTGAAATTGTAAAGGAGGGCAGAGAGCATCCAGAGTCAGGAAAAAGGACTAATAACACTTAACCTGACTGCCTAGAACAGGGCCACCCAGTTTTTGTATAAACTACCAGAGGCTAAGCTTAGAAATGCACCTGCTTTAAGTTAGATAACTAGAAGTGGGCAACAGCCTGGGGGTGTGATCCGTGATAAGTCAAGTAGACATGCTTGGGTAAGCAAGAGGTAACAATTGAAGCCGTCAGGCAACTGACATGTTCCCTAAAAAGGCTACAGTGTTTCTCATTGGTTACAATATAGAATGTGCTTTAAAATTACTGGTTGTAGAAATGTGCGGGCTTCGGTGTAACGGCTGTGAAAATCCTATATAAGCAATACCTAAAGTTGCCTAGGGGTTGACTGCTCTGACCCGGCCTGTGTGTCAGGGGAAGTGCTGTCGGCCCCAGCTAGCTGGCTGAATAAAGACTTTGCTTGTACTTACATCTCCGTGCCTGTGTGCTTTGTTCTCTTGAGAAATCCACGGATTTCTGGACCCTAACAAAATATCAATAAATTGGCCCCCAGTGAACATACAATGGGTCTTGACTCTGGTAGATACAGGAGCTAAGTAAGTACTTACTGATTTATGGCACACCTGAGTGGTTTTCTGGGCCCCCCACTGTTACACATGGATACAAGGGCCAGAATGAAACAAGCTCAAATCCTGTTGGGAATAAGGCATCTAATACTGTATATGATGGCATGCTTATTTCTGATTCTCTTATAGATAACTGTAACACCATTTCAAGAGTTTTGGGATCTTTTACTCTACTGGAGAATGTTTATCCTGCACTTGACACAAATTCTGAAGCCCTTATACCATTTTGATATGAAGGGGTGTCAGGTGGGACTGGAGTATGTGCATCTGGTTTTGTCACTGCAAAATGGGCAGTCAAGGCCATGCAGGGCTTGAGTGTGATAGACCCATCAAGGTCCCGTGAGCTGGATGTCCATGTGAACGAAGATGTTTATGGCTGGGGGCCCTGGCAGCAGTTTGGATGAACTCACCAATCTATTGGACTTTGGTCACAACTAGAAAAGAGCAGAGGCCATTTGCTACTGGCATTCCCAAGAAATGAAGCAGATGAATTGGCCCAGGTGCTCTGGCTAGAAGGAGAGCCTGGTTCTGATGTGGCCTAATGGTTACATCAACGTTTGTTGCATGCCTGGCAGAAGACAATATGGGCTGTAGCCCATCAGTGGGGCCTGCCTTTGACCTTTGAAAAAGCCAACAGAGCCCAGCAGCAGCGCACTGTGTGCTCTAAAAGGGACTTACACTGAGTCCCACAGCAACCTGGGATGACAGCCAAGGGGCCAATACCCCTCGTCATGTGGCAGATAGACTATATCGGGCGTCTGCTCATATCAGAAGGATATCAGTATGTCATAACTTATGTGGACACAGCTACTGGACTTCTGTTTCCTTTTCCTGCATGTTGTACA